CTCCATTGATACACACACAGGAGCTACCAAATTCAGAACTACTTTTCCACTTATTAACTGTTCTCCAAGAATCATCTCTTATGCTGTATACCTTCACACTTGCTACGTGATTCTTACCGACAATTACACTATACATTTTGGCAACCACGTAATCATCTTTTTTTTTTCACCGACGCCAAAACCGTAATACAAATTATTAAGGCCAAGAGAACCCGATGATGGTAAACATTTCAATTTTCCTAAGGCTGGGTTCCAAAGGAAAATTTTATGCGTTCCCACAAATATACATAATAGTCCATTCACAGAACATATGATCCTTAAAGAATTGATTATTTTAATACCGTGCATTGCAGAAGACTTTATATATTTTATTTTATTTATAAAAGAATCTAGATAACAGGAATGGAGGATTACCCTACTTTATGCGCAGCCTCCAAATTCAAGTTTAGTTGCTTCCTTCTTTTGGAGTGAAATCTTGGTATGAGATTTCACAAATTCAGGACTAAAAATTAAAGTACACCAAGATTTACTAACGCATGAAAATTTTAGAATAGACTTCAGTGGCAGTGTTAAGAGTATCTCAAATATCACATTTTGAGAAACATGGCGATTTGGCATTGAATCTCCGAGAATTCCTTTAGGCCGATTTGCTATTGAAACAAGAGAATTGTGTATACGCAAGTTTTTCCTTGAAAAAGTACGTCACCATCACATCAACTTAACTAGCTACTACTAAATTGCAGGCCAGAAGCACCAAGCAAAGTGGTTTTACACATTTACAGCCAGTTTCAATAACCCCGACATCTCCCAGACCGCCATGGGAAATTTCACTGCCAAAGTCACATTCTGAATCCATTGATATACTTCAATTAACCTTTCCTTTTTCTTGATAGTTAGAGTAGGTCGTTCGGCAGAAGTAGGTTTAAAAATCAACACAAACAATTTTTCTCAACAAGAAATTATTAATATTGTGATAACGTAATTTAACTTCATTTCCCATTGTCAAGACAGTGGAGGTACTTCATGGTTAAAGCTGAACAAAACAAGACTTTCAATGTAGGTAACTGTTTCAAGATAAGGCCCATCTACAAAAGAATTCTCATGGAAATTGAATGTTTCAGCACTTGAATCGTATAACTTCATAGCTGACCCATAGTTCATTAAGAATACTGCATCTCCGACACATATAATTGCAATGGTTTGTCGAACGAATAATTCTAGACATCTATAATGCAAGCGAATCTATTCCAAGATTCCTTGATGCCACAGTCATTCACCATCCATACATCCAACTTTGTATTATATTTACAAAACAAACAAAGGCACCCCCTCAAGACTCCCAATGAAAAATGTACAAGACCAAAAGTATCACAT